AAGGTGGAGAATTGGAGGCCAGCCTTGGAAGACCATCTTGAACAAAAACCCAGAGCAATTTGTCACTCTCTTGTTTTTGGACATGTACCATTGATACCCTTAAGCTTCTTAGGTTAGGAAAATCCACCTGGCCTTTCCCTGACCAATCTCAGTCCTCAAGAGAACCATTGGTGTCACTCTATGCCATAGTCAGGCTATGCAGGAGTCAGTCCAAGGAGCTACAAACTTCCTTGGTCAAGTGACTTCGGACCGTGCTCAGAGCTGGGGTAGGATCAAATGGGCACAGCCTGCCCCCAGGGTTCCAGGTTCCTGCTTCTTTCCTTGACCTGGACCTGAAATGTCAGGGCCTATGCTGCTAAGAGCCAAATTTTCACCCCTCTCCCCCATGCCATCTGCAGCTTGCTTAGGCTAGTCTGGGCACCTGAGTTCTAATGTCCCCCCCCATAACTCCTCCTTCCAGCTCAAGGTCTCACAGCCTCAACAAGCCATCAGTGAAGAATCAATGACTAACCAAGGGTAGAAAATACCAGGAAAGATGGCAGGTTTTATGGTTTTATTTTATTTAAGCACAAATAACAGGAACATGTGAGCCATCTATTCGTTTTCTTCGCTGCGCAGCCTGGCATTGGGGTTGGTGATTCTGATGGCCAGCTGTGCTGCTCTTTCAACAATGGCTTTGCGGTTCTTGGAAGATACATTGTGCGCTATCTCAGCACAGTAAGATCTGAAAGAGGGCAGTTGAGTAAGAAAGAGACAAACCAAGCTTTATGTCCCTGAAAATGTGGCTGGGGAGGTGGAAACACCTGTCTGGCCCCACTACCAAAGAGGAAAATGTTTGCTAAATGGGACACACAGGTCTCAAATCCTGCCACCAAACTATCAGGCTCTGCAGTGGTCCCTGGTTGTGACAAGGCATTAGTCCACAAAAGTACCCACTCAACCTTCACTGAGCCAGTGATCACCCACACTTAGCAGCTGGACAACTGCAGCTCAGTTCTTTTCAGACCTTCTGGCTGACCAATCCAGAACTCTGCAGAGGGGGGCTTGAGCCTGGAGGGACTTCTAGTGGGACTGCTGTGCGTGGCAGGTGTTTCAAGAAACAGCACTGCCTAGGTTACCCAATGGGCCACATCTAACATTTCCTGCAGACCTGGTGCACCATGCACTGAACAAACTGTCCTAATGAGCACACATTACACCCAGGATTGCAGACTGACAAAGTAAGCAGTCCCAACTGGGAAAAGCAGTCTCAACAATCCTTTTTCCGAAGCATGAACTCAAGGCTACACCTGGAGATGGGCCATTTCACCCTGAAACTCACATCCTTGTCCATCTAGAGCTACAATCATCACTTTTCAGTTATTTTCCTAACTGACTGGTTCTGCAACAAATAGCTTTCACATTTCCCTGCTTCTCAGTTCTGTGGAGACAAATGCTCAGAGACAGAACTTGTGGGTAAAGATCACAGGGCCCAACATTGTCCCACAAATGAATACAGAACTCTCTCCTGCACAGGACTGCACTGTGCCTGTCCTAACTTAGCCACCAACCCACCTGCCTGCTGGAGCTTGACATCCACATTAGTTCCTGCATCCATCATCTCCAAAAGAAACTCCCAGCACTTCAATTCCCAATGCTGCCTCCCTCTGTAGTATCTACAACCACAACAGATCCCTGAAAGCCTGAGCACCCACAACCATTAATCACTGTCTCCAAGGCCCATCTAATTTACTTGGGAAAATACAGCTTACTGACCCAATTACCAAGAAGGAAAAATACATTGTACTCTTAACCAAACACTACATTTCTCCCCTCAGTTCCATGAGGTTTTGAGGTGAGCTGATAATGAAATCTCACAGAGCTCACAAAGGGTCTAACTTGCTCAAAGCCTCTAGAACTGACACCCCATGAGCCTCCATCTCCACCTGTATCTGCAGCCTTCCTCCTTTTCTCTACCTCAGTTTACACTGGGCTCCAAAGTCCAGCCACAGGTAGCAGCTTCTCCACCACTCTAATCTCTGTAAGCCTGGTAACAGCACAGAATCAAGCATCCCTCATGCCCGAGGTTTGCTTTTTTTCCTCTCATTCTCACATCAACAGAGCAGCGTTCCAGAAAGGATGGCCCAAAGGACACTGCCCACTGTACCAAGCAAATCCTCCCTTTTCTTAGGCAGACAGAATCCGATTCACACAGAACTGTCTATTCCAAGCCAACATAGCAGCTTCTCCAACCCTCCAAGCCAAGGCCAGGGCCCAACTCACTTGTTGCACATCAGGAGCACTTCCAGCTCCTTGACATTGTGGACCAGGAACTTCCGGAAGCCACTGGGCAGCATGTGCTTTGTTTTCTTGTTGCTCCCATACCCAATGTTGGGCATCAGGATCTGACCCTTAAATCTTCTCCGCACCCTGTTGTCAATACCTCTGGGTTTCCTCCAGTTTCGCTGAAGAAAACAAAGATGGGTTAGGGTTTGTGCAAACTGCCAATCTGTCCTTAGGGTAACATTACTTCCTACTTCTTGGTACATTTTGACAGGGAAAACTTTGCCAGGTACAATAGTGCACACCTTTAATCACTTGGGAGGCGGAGGCAGGACAACTTCTGTGAAACCGAAGTCAGCCTAGTCTACATACACAGTGAGTTCCAGGCTAACTGGGCCTAGTCTCCCTGCCTCAAAAAAGAGGGAGGGAGGGAGGAGGGAAGGAAGGAAAGAGAAGCTCTTAAAGTTCTGGCTCAATGTTAGAATCCTTGACTACAAAGTACAAGTCCTGGGTTCCAACCACAGCACCACACTCATGCCAAACAAGATGCCCCCTTCTTTAGCTCTAACCACCAGAAACAGACTCATGTTCACTCTCCAAACCAATAGGGAGGCAGAACAGGAAGGGATAAGAGACAGTGCACATTCCGATGATAGGTCTGTACACTGCTCCCAGGACCCAAGTTTTCTCATCCATAAAATACACACGCCTTTAATCCCAGCACTCGGGAGGCAGAGGCAGGTGGATCTCTGTGAGTTCAAAGCCAGGCTGGCATAGTGAGTTCCAGGATAGCTGGGGCTACAGGGAGACCCTGTCTCAAAAAAAAAAAAAAACACCAACCACACACCAAAGGCTGGGGATAGGGCTCATAAGTTCAAGGTCCTCTTCCACAACATAGTTTGAAGCCACTGTGGGCTACATAAGGGCTCAAAAAGGGCAGGGGTTGGCCAGGCGTGGTGGCACACGCCTTTAATCCCAGCACTTGGGAGGCAGAGGCAGGCAGATCTTTGTGAGTTGGAGGCCAGCCTGGTCTACATAGTGAGTTCCAGGACAGCTGGGTCTACAAGGAGACCCTGTCTCAAAAAGACCAAAAAAAAGGGGGCAGGGGTCTACCTGAGGGAAATGGCTAGGTGGGTAAAGTATTTGCTGAGCAAGTCTGAGGATCTGAGTTCAGATCCTCAGCACCTACATAAAAGCCTTGTTTGGGGGCTAGAGAGATGGCTCAGCCATTAAGAGCACTGGCTGTTCCTGCAGAGGACGGGGGTTCAATTCCCAGAACTCACATGGCAGCTAACAACAATCCCTAACTCCAGGTCCAGAGGATCAGACACCCTCTTCTGACGTCCACAGGCATTGCACAACACAAGTGCACCTACCTACACGCAGACAATACACTCCTACACATAAACTAAATTAAAAAAAAAAAAAAAAAAGCCATGTGTGGTGGTACATGCCTAAAATCCCAGGGCAGGGAGGAGACAGGTGGAGGCAAACATCAGGTGACCTCTAGGTTCACTGAGAAGCCTTATCTCAAAAATAAGGTAGTTAAAAGCACTTGCTGCTCTTGAGGGCATGGGTTTAGTTTCCAGCACCCACATGGCAATTCAGCCATCTACAACTACAGTTCCATGGGAATAGACATTCTCTTCTTTCCTCTCCAGGCCACTGTGGCACATAGGAAGTGTACACATGTGACCTAACACTCAGACACACAAAAAGAAAATCATTAAAAAAATGTGGTTAGAAGCCAGGCATGGTACCGCACACCTTTAATCCCAGCACTCTGCCAGCAGGCAGGGGCAGGGGGATGAAGTGAGTTTGAGGCTAGCCTGGTCTACACAGCCAGCTCCAGGCCAGCTGGAGCTATAGGGTGACCCTATCTCAAAAATACCAACCAAACAAACAGTAACTTGCCAGGGTGTGTGGTGACATACACCTTCAATATCGGCATTCTGGAAGCAAAAGCAGGCTGATCTCTGGGAGTTTGAGGCCAACTTGGTCTACACAAGAGGAGTTCCAGGTCAGCCAGAGCTACCTAGTGAGACCCTGTCTAAAAAAACTCCAAACCAGGGGCTGGAGAGATGGCTCAGTGGTTAAGAATGCTGACTGTTCATGCAGAAGACCAGGGTTCGAATCCCAGCACCCACATGGTAGCTAACAACTGTCCGTAACTCCAGTTCTAGGGGATCAACAGCCTCTTCTGTCCTCCTCGGGCATTGCACAACACAGGTGCACTTGCCTACATGCAGGCATAACACTCATACACATTAAAAAAAAAAAAAAACCCCAAACCCAAGCCAGGCAACCAACAAAACTTGAGAAAATAAGGTGAAGAGATTGAGACCCAATGTAGACCTCTGGTCTGCCCAGACAACCACACCCCCACACACAATTAAGTGAAAGACAAAAACCCCTACAAGTCTGAATACACGGACAGAGTTCTCTGGTCGATTGACAAACCAGTCTAACAAGGTGCTGCTACTAGGCCATGCCAGAAATGTGATCAGAACTCCTCTCTTCACCCTAACACTTCCACCCCAAGACCACACACCTTAATTTTGACATATCGATCAGACTGGTGCCGGATGAACTTCTTGGTCCTCTTTTTGACGATCTTGGGCTTCACCAGTGGTCTGAGGGCAGCCATGATGCCTGTAACAGATGGATCCAGGTTAGGGGAGAACTTGAGAAGGAGGGTGCCCTGGGCCTGAATGATGTTGCAGAGTGTCTTCCAATCACCAGCCACGGAGCAAGCTGGGAATGGAATGGGTGCCTCTGCTAGGCTTGCTTTCCCTCCTGTTTCCGAAGCTGGCAGAATACTAGCTACTCTCCAGACGCGATCCCAGGAGGTAAGGGGATCTGAACCTCAAAAATGGCAACACCTGCCCTGTAACATAACCCAGCCGAGGCCTTCTAGCTTTTAGGGGGCAGTAAATCCCACATCACTACACTTCTCAACCCCCAAACAATCCTTCCTCAACTGCAAACAGGCAGGACAATGGGCACTTAACCCACCTGCATTGTCTGGTTCAAAATAAATGCTGGATAAAAGGAAAACTTGATTTCTGCGGAGTGTTGCTGCTCGGCAGTACCCCTCAAACACAAAAAACCAACTCCTGGTTCTAACTTGTCACCAAATAGTGAACAGTCTGTTACTCGAGCGCCTCAGAGCACCAACCCCACGTTAGCTTTTCTACAGCCCGGACTCCTCTTTCCCGTCACAGACGACCGGCTCTGTCCGGCACACCTTAAGTACCGAAAGAACACATGTTTAACAAGCATCTTCGCCCCCTGGCACCATGATACCATCCAGGGCACCTTCCTAACCCGGAGGCCCTCCCTGCCCACTACCAGGACGTTTAACAGGCAATCGAGAAAGTGGCGGCTCGGCGGCCACAAGGTGAACGGCTCCAAGTCCCCGCGGTCCGGCCTGATTGAACCCCGAGTGCCGCGTGGGATCAAACAGGCCGCAGCCGACTGACCCCTAACGGCTGCCTTCGCAGGGCGACCGGCCGCAAAAGGCCCGGGTCCGTGCCCACACCACCACTGCTTCGTACATCCCCACTCCTCCGCGGCGACAGGAGCCGCAGCTCCGAGCGCGAAAGCGGAGACCTCCCTACCCGGCGACCGGGCCGCACGGACCCTGCGGAGAGGCGGATGGCTAACGATGTAGACTCACCGCGCAGGAGACAGCAGCCACCCCGCCGGCAGCGCCGAAGAAGAAGGAGGGGACAGCAGCGCGCAGGGGCTGATGGGACGGAGCCTCCGGTCCTGGCAGGGAAAAGGTAAGCGCTTCCGGCTCTGGGTCCTCCAAAGAAAATTAAGAGGTGCTAGAGACGACGCTAGGAAATAAAACGCCCTGTGTACTAGTGTTATAAAGGATATGTTAATATCTTTTAATGGAACTAGAAACATAGCTAACTTTCTCTTGAGACCGCATAGAAAATTTGGAATTCTTTCTGAGGTAAGACCTGGTGGGTGGGCACTACTTCCTTCTCAAGTGGAAGCCAAATCCGTTTTTTTAAATTTGTCCTCCCGCGTTTGTGCGCCTCCCGGTGGCCAGGAGGTGGTGAACTATGTTCATTAGATTTTTCAAGGGAATGTAGTCCCCACGTTGCAGAATCCTGTTTGGACGCTGGAACACGCAGATGACCAAGCCCCTGGAATAGAAAGTGGTACAGAGCTTGCCAACATCTGTATACTTTAAATTCTCGCTACGTATGACACCTAGTACAATGTACTAATAAATCCTAGGCCAATAGCATTGCTTAGAAAATAAAAAAATACAGATTTAATTCAGATGCAATTTTCTTTTCGAATATTTTGTTTGCAGTTGGTTGACTCTGTGAATACAGATGTGGAAATTGATATGGAGGGCCAACTGTATGTATACAATGAAGCATCCTCGCTAACCTTCCATGGTTTACCAGAATTGTATGAGGTAATTCTGTTCTTCATGTGATATATGTGGAAAGTGAATTTTGGAGACTTAACTCCAAAATCCACACTTCCAACCATTCAGCTAATTGTTTAGTTTTTAAATTGTTGTTCTTGGTTTGTTTTGCTTAGCTTTTATTTTTCAGATGATTGTGAAAAATCTAGTTCCCCGGAGGACACACACACACACACACACACACACACAAAAAAAAAAAAAAACAAAACCTTGATTCTACAACTCAAACACAGCACAGATATCGTGGGTGATCCTGACAGTGGTTCCAGTAGACGGAGACAGATGCTGAATTGTATTGTGTGGACTGAATGGGGAATGCAAAGGGAAGAGAACAAGAGTGTTGATAACTCTACCTTGAGTGGCTGGCTGTGAAGGGGAGTCACACTGAGGTCACACTGCTGAAAGGGAAGCACAGTAGGGTGGGACTGGAACTCTTCTGTGTCTGCAGCTAGCCCACCCTTCCTAGTGGTGCTTATCTGACAGCTGAGGAAAGTTGGATGGGATTCATAGAAGTGTGAAGCTAACCGGCAGGTCACATAGTACATTTCAGGAAGGGAAAGTCAAATGGGTGAATCAGGGAGGGCCCATGAACCAGAGAGCATAACTCCAGTTTCCAGAGATCCACAAAAATTGGGAAATGGAGTCCATTGCAGGTGGTGGCGGGGGGGTGGGGGGAGAAGATGGGGTACTCTGACTGCCTGTTACTTCTCTGTGGGCACTGGGATGAGAGGTGGCAGATGTAACTGTCCCAGGGAATGTGCATGTTTCATCCCCCTAGGCTCAAGCTTTCCAAATACCTGGCCACAGTTCCTGAGCACAAAACCACAACAGCTGGGCCATAGGTCAGCTCCAACCTTGTTTATTTTGAAAGGGCAGAGGTCATGAGAGGGCAACAAACACAGCATGTGTGTTCTTTTACATTCACAACCAAGGCACTGAACAACAGTTTCAGGAGAAGTGGCCCTAGGTTATCCTTGTGAAGTTTCTTTTGTATTTTGGTACCTCTATGCCTGCAGCTCTGGGCCTTGGCTACACTGTCTCCTGGTCCAGGCTGACTGGACTAGCAACCCCTGGGCCACTCTAGTTTATAGAATACACCTTGGTGGCATCATAATAGGCAGGGGTCATATAAGTCCCATCCTTCATGGGCCACCAGTTATCAGAGTGATAGGTGGCTGGGTAGGCATGGTGCTTGTGTTGGACACAACTGAAGAGTGCCAGGCTCCGGTCGCTGGCCACAGTAGGCAGATAAAGCCGGAGCTTGTCCAGAAGGTGACCTGGCCAGAAGTAATTGGGGTGGGTGTGCTGGGGACTAGTGGGCTTCTTCACCTTCAGCTTCCTGGAAAAGAAGACACAGGGAAGGTTGCCATGGCAGATAAACACAGTGAGCAAGTGGCCAAGTGCTGGCTTGACCCCAGTCAACTACCTCTCAAACTCAAACTTACAGGCCTATACCATCTTTGCTCTAGAGGCCCTTCCCTTCCCTCCCCTCCCCCCCCCTTTTTGGTACTGCTGGGGATGGAACCCATGACCTTGCATACTCTACCCTATTACTAAGCCACAACCCAGCCACATCTAGAAGCATTAGAACATGGTGTTTGGAGTCTCGCCTCTGGAGCCAACCTCATTGAGTTCATCTCCCTTCTCTACATCTTAACAGATGTGGGAGTGTGTCAGTTTCCTCACCTGTAACTGATATGTCTAGAGTAACTCACTTAGGCTTGTTAGTGAGAACTTCCTGGGAAGACACAGAGCATTCGCTGCCTAGCACTCTAAATGCTGTTCTGCTGCCCCTTAGGCCTTGAAAATAAAGTCTCACTGCAGTGCAAGGAGCTGGGGCAATGTGCAGAGGGCCCAGAACTGCCTCTGGGTGGAGGAGAGTCCACCCCTCCCATCCCCTGCCCTCTTGGCAGATACACAGGATGCTACAAACCCAGCAAATTCCTTGAACTCCTTAAAGTCCATTTTCTTGAGTTTCTTTGATATTTTCCTATCAGATAAGGGAGAGACATTTTGTTAGGAGAGGAGACCTCCAGAAAAATGGGGCTTTGGGGAGCAGTTGGGGGCCTTTGAGGGTATGTTTCTGAGTCTTAAGCCAGAACTTTGAATTTCTTCTTGGGGTGAGGCCCTGGCTCTATGTTTCCATGCTCCAGGGAACGCCTATGTGCTGGGCTTAGCCAGACAGGGCCTCATTCCCTGGCTGGCTGGATGAAGGGCCTTGGCTTTCTTTTTTCCCAGGATAGAGGCCCCCAGGGTAGTTAGGAGAGATGTTCAGTAAGCAGTAGATGTTGAATTTGACTCCCATTTCTTCTGCTAGAGGCCAAGCTCTGTGGGACATAAAGCCTTACCCTCCACACATTGGGCCAGGAAGACATTGTTAATCTATCACTATGTTCTTTCCCACCAAACCTGAATCTGGTCTCAGAATCTCTGAGGGTTTTATTTCTGATGTGAGGGATTGAACCCAGGGTGTTGAGCACTCTAAGGACACACTCGACCACTGAGCCACTTCCCCACCCCCATGCCCTGGCTCTTTTACAATCTAGTCGTAGGTGGTGAGAGAGAGGTAATCACCTCCCTTCAACTAGGGGACCTTTCTTTCTCCCTCACAGCTGTGAATGACCAGGTATAAGCAAAAATCCCTTTCTTGTACCCCTACCCTCTTCCTGGATTCATGGCTTAGGAATTGGTGCCAGCCACCCAAGGACTAGAAAGGTTTTCTGAACACCCTCTAAGCCACCCCTTGCCTGGCTCATGCTCAACACTTTACATACAGTACTTTCTATGGGCCTGGGCCACCCCTGCACTCAAGACTGCCAAAATCACTCGAGGGTATAGCACCAGCCAGTGCAGAGGGTGACCTGTGGCTCTTGTTTTCACTCTCTGTGTGTGGTAGAAATCTGTGTCCACTTCATTCATGAAGGTGCTGAGGCTCAGAGTGCAGTACCTTGTCTGTTTGGCCAGAGGCATGTCTGATTTCCACTCTTCCACTAAAGCCTGCCCCAGGCATTCTGCCACACTACCTCAAGTGGGCAGCTAGGCTGGTCCCTTCCTCCTACCCCCAGGACAACTCCAGCCCTCTTCAGGGATGCCAGTCTCCTTCTCCCATCTGTAATCACCACTGATGCTGTCACCTCCTGTGTGGTCCACATCTAGAGGGTCTCATTTTTGGATCCCTCTAAAGGCTACTTTGAGAGGACTTGAGTTGGTCTAAGGGTCAGGGCCAGGGCCCAGGGAAGCATTCTGTTCTCTTTCCAGAGAACATCCTGCCTCTTGGCGGAGAATGAGGGTACCAACCATGGGCCTTCTGATTGTATAAGCTTGTTTTCAGGAGGGTAACTGTGAGGGAGCTGAGGCAGACCCTGATCCTAAGACATATACTAGAGTGACATTTGGGACTGATCAGTCTGAGGTGACTAGTTAGGTGGGGACACTAACACAACATGACACTGCATGCATGCCAACATCCTAGTGCCTATAGCTTGAAGGGACAGCAGCAGGACAAGGGCAGGCCTGAAACTCAGCTTGTCTGTCTTCTTGGCTCCAAGCTTATGGAGGTTCTGGGTCCCAAACCCTGGCAGACTGTGGACAATCTTTTCATTGCTGTAATAGCCTCCAGGCTGCCGGATCGGGCGGACTTCTCCTTTGAGAGAAATAATCTTGTCTCCTGGGTATAGCAGTGCTGAGCAGCAAGGAAAACAAGCAAGGTTCATTATCCAAAGCCCCCTCCATTGGGGTCCCACAAGGGTGTTTAAAAAAATCCATACTTAGTTAAAAGATATTTTTCTGGACTGGTACGATAGTAAAGGCATGTGGCAAAAGGCATGTGTGGGAGTCAGGACAATTTTGTGGAGTTGGTTTCTCCTCTCTACCTTTAAGTGGATTCTGAGGGTTAAACTCAGGTCATCAGGTTTGGGGGCGAGTACCTTTACCCACTGTACCATCTTCTCACTGGCTTCCAACTTTTTTTTCCTTGTCACAACACCAATTGAAGTAAAAACAACACAAGTTGCTACTTCACCCAAAAGTGGTATTTTCACTCTGCCCCTTCTTGATGGCTCAATGGGTCACTAGCAAAAGCCCACTGAATGCTTTTAAAAGGGGGAAATTGGCTTCCAACTTTTAAAAAATTATACTTATTTATTTTGTGAGTGTGTGTGCACAAGGTATGGAACCCAGGGGCTCATGCATGCTAAGCAAAAGCACTCTGCCACTCAAGCCCTCAATTTGAACTATTCTGATCACCATTTTAATGGCAATTTTCTCCTTGTCTCCAATCTGTCTCCATATATATGTGCCTGTGTTTGTGTATGTCGGCGCATGTATGTGTGTATGTATAAGTGTGTGTGTACATGTTTGTATGAGTGCATTTAGGTGGGTGTACATATGCACATGAATGTGGAAGTCAGAGCATCCCACTAACCAAGCTCAGAGCTCCAGGACTTAGAGCCCCGTGATCTCTCACCTGAGGAGCCCAGGCCTGTGTCCTAGAAATCCCACCTAACAGCAAGCCCTACTGGCTGGCTCCCTTTCCTTCCCTCCTTCCTAGTGTTCCCACTGCAAGCTGCAGTGGCTTGACTGGGTTCATGTTGGGAAGGACCAGTGCCAAGCCAACCCACACTAGCCTTAGCTCAAGCCCTGGGCTCTTTCCTGATTCGAGCCTCTGAGCCCCTACCTCTCATTAGGACGTCCTCTGTCAGCATGAGTCCATAGGCCTCGCAGAGTTCCCAGCACTGGAGGTAAACCAGGAAGTTATCCCTGTGGGTCAGGTTGACCAGCTCCTCCATCTCCCCATGCATGGTGGACGGCAGACAGTGATCATCAAAGTACTTGTTCCCACAGCGTACCAGCCTGCAGCTCTCCATGTACTGGATGGAGGTGAGGGAGAGCTGTGGGGAGAACAGAGGATCGTTACCTGTATTGTCTTCCTGATCTTCCTCCTGGCTGGAAGGCAGGACACTGCCTCCTCCACCTCTCCTGGAGGGGCCCCCATGAAGGGTATAGCATGCACAGTGGGGCCAAATTTGGGTTCTGAAGTCAGTAGCTTGGGAGAACAGCCCATGTGGCTGTGTAATGTCTAAAGGAAGGCATGGCACTAGTAAGTACTCCAGAGGTATCCTGCTGAAAAGTGGCATTGAGACTTTGACTGCAGAGGACTCTAAACCAGGCACAACCACTTGTGTGTGATCTTGAAATAGAAGACATGTGCCAGTGCAGAGGGGTCTTGGGAGTGCCAGCCACTGTCACTGTCTGCCTTCTTTTTCTGTTTGAGTTTTTTTGAGACAGGGTCTTACTATGTAGCGCAGGATGGTCTCAAATTCATGGTCCTTCTGACTCTGCCTGAGTGCTGGGATTATAGGGGTGTTCCATCACACCTGGCTGCAGGTACAGTTCTTATTATATAGATGACAGACCAGGGCTGAGATGTGGAGCCTTCTGAGGGCTCCCCACTAGCAAGTGTCAGTGCCAAGGCTGGAAGCCCAGACTGCCCAGCCCTCAGTCTCATGCAGGAGAGGTACTTTGTGCTGCCGTTGCCTCTCGCGGTACCGCTTGCCCACATCCTCCATGTCCTCTAGTGTCATGGGCCTTGCCTCCATCATGTCATCCTCAGGCACCTTCAGCAGGTCCATCTTGCGAAGCTGTGGGGCTGATTCCACCTGCTGTTTATTGGGTCGACTCTTCAGGGAATCTCTCTGCTTACTCAACCTATAATCTAGCGTCAGAGGGAATAGTTGAAGGAAGGAGGGACTAAGAGGGTGCCCAGCTGTGGAACCCAAACCAATGTCATTGAGCGGGTGCTAAACTGTCCCTGTGCTCCCTTCCCACACCTAGCCAATGCCCACCTGAGAGGCATTTGTGAATATGTTTTCCCTCCATCACTAGGAAGGCCCCCATCTGCAGGCCCCACCATACCTCCCTGCTGCTTTTCTCACCTCCTGCCACCCTGTTCCCACCAAGTGGCAAACAGGACCTTTACAAAATGTAACCCAGATCACCTTATGCCCAACTTCCATGGAATTCACACTAAAACCAGTCCTTTCCCTGGACCACAAGGGCCTGTGGGAATCTAGCTTTATCTGCCATCCTACCTATGCCTGGTCACCCCCCACATGCCCCATCCTCACCTCCCGGATTCCCCCAAAGACCTTCCTGCCTTTGGACCTTGGCACTGGCACTGGCAGTTGCACCTGCTTTGGACACCCTTCCTACACACTCTCTAGACATCGGCTGCACACTGATCACTCAGGAGTTAGCTCAGTGCCTATAGCTCAGAGGCTTTGCCTGGCCACTACACTGAAACTGCTTTCCATCGTCTCAAAGGCATCCATCTATGAATGTCCATCCATCCATCTCTATGGACATCACTTTGTTACACATAAGCTGCTGGAGGCAGGGCTTTGGCTAGTCCACTGCTGTCTCCCAGTTCCCAGAAGTGGGTCTGGCATTTAGGAGGTACTCTCAAAATGGGGACCAGTGAAAGGACTCTGTCACCCTGTCCCATCCTTGCTGTCAGTCCCATGCTGAGATGAATCCTGACCACACCTCCTCCTCCTGAGACTACAGACAGGAGGCTCAGCCTCTCTGTTTGTTTCCTCCATGGAAAGCATGAATGGCAACCTGAGCTCTGGACAGGAAGGGTAAACTGAGTCTTCTGTGGGAAATGAATTCAGGTGCCCAAAAGAGTGCTCCTTTAGACAAAGCGAAAGACCCTCAAGTCCACCTGCCTTACCCACGGGGGGCGAAGAATTCTGCTGATGTCAAAACAGCAGTAGTCAACAGATATCTGCTGTTTGCCCGAAGTCTATTGGCTGGGGAAAAACGGGCTTGAAGTCCTTTGTGCATGCCATTGCTGAGCATTGCTTAAATGACCTGTGAGATCACAGCGGCCCTGGGAAGTCATAAGACCACATTCTGTTAACTTGGTTTTTTTTTTTTAGACAAGGTCTCACATATCCCACATTGGCCTCAAACTCCCTATGTAGCCAAGGATGATCTTGCACTTCTAATCCTCCTGCCTCCACTTTCTAAGTGCTAGGATTATAGATGTACTGTTTATGCTGTGCTGGGGATGGGAGCCCAGGGCTTCATGCATGCTAGACGAGCACTCTAAAAACCCAGCTACATTCTCAGCTCCAAGGTTTTTTGTTGTTGCTTTGTGTGGGTTTGGAGAGGAGGATGTTTTGAAACAGCATGTGCTGGATAGCTTTAGTGTTAACTTGACACACCTGGAGCCTCAATCTGGGGACTTGCCTTCATTGAACTGGCCTGTGGCCATGTCCATGGGGCACCTTCTTGACTGTTGAGTGATGTGGGAGGGCCCAGCCCACTCTGTGGGTGGTGCCACCCCTGGGCTGGTGGGCCTGTGTTGCATAAGAAAGCAGGCTGAGCAGGGGCCAGGGGAGTAAGCTAGTAAGCAGCATTCCTCCATGGTCTGTGCTCCAGCTCTGTCTCCAGGTTCCTACCTTGGGCTCCCTGATGAACTGTGACCCAGGATATGTAAGCTAAATAAACCCTTTCCTCCCCAAGTTGGTATTGGTCAGAGTGTTTTGTCACAGCAATGGAGAAACAAACTAGGACACAGGGTCTCTCTGTAGCCACAGCTGGCCTGGAACTATGTAGACCAGGCTGGCCTCAAACTCACAGAGATCTACCTGCCTCTGCCTCCCAAGTGCTGGAACTAAAGGCATGTGCCACCACACCTGGCTGTATTTTTTTTTTAGGGTCTTTTTGAAACAGGGTCTCCCTATAGTCCCAGCTGGCCTGGAACTGGCTATGTAGACCAGGCTAGCCTCAAACTTACAGAGACCCACCTGCCTCTGCCTCCCAAGTGCTGGGATTAAAGGTGTGTGCCACCACACCTGGCTTTGTTTTATTTTTAAACCAACAATAATGTCCCTGTAAGGATAGAGGCTAGACTTCAACTTGGAATAGACACAAGGACAGCTGTGCCCTTGAGAAAATGTTTCCTAGTTGACCTCCAGGCCTGGGAACTCCAGAGCTTGACCAGTCCATAGCAAGCCAGAGAAGGAGCCATTGAGGATGTGAATTCTGGGGAGAGCCAGACTGGTTTCCTGGGCAGGGAGGATACGCACACTCCCTGGCAGTAGGTACGGTGCTTCTCTGTTGGGACAGTGACCACTGCTTGTAGGTGCTGGCCAGGGCATTGATGGTGATGGCATTCTGCCTCCCAAGAGAACCAAGGTAGATCACTATGTCCTCCAGCTCCTGGTTCTTCAGAGGGACTCCAATCTGAGGAGACACAAGACACCACTGAGGCACAGCTCACCCTGGCCACCAGGTCTGACCAACCTGCTCTACCCTCCAGCTCCCCACTGCCACAGGAGTGCAGCACCTTGCCAGGCCCCCGAATGCACCCTGCACTTTCCCACTCCTTGCTTTTGCCTAGGCCTTCCTTCTCCACCTGAAAAATTCTTATCCATCTTTCAAAACCCAGGCCAGATAAGCTGCCTTCTTTACAGTCTACTTATTTGGTCACAAATGCTCACAGATAGCATTTACTGTGCTGGATAGGAAAAAGGTCACACATCAGTCCTCCTTATCCGTTAGAAACAGCCAAGTCCCCCTTGACTAAACAGGATCAAAATCTATACGCCTTACTCTATTAAGGATAATAGGTAACTTTGGAGGTATATAATGCTTACCAGCAATATTGAACATTGAAAAAGTAAAGTTTTAAAGGAAATATAATTGTGTTCCTCATTCTCTTTAGACAACAGTCATTTTTCACTGAAATTTCCTTAAATAAGATCAGAACTTTCTTGGTGCTAAAGAATTTCCTTTTTTTAAAAAAAAAAAACACTTTGATTATGGTAGTTAAAGACATTTACTTTTTGTTTAAGTGCTTTAGAGTGATGTTCATATAATTAAATTTCTTAAAATGTGTGAAAATTAGTGAATTAAAACTGTAAGCCTGGGTATATAGCTCAGCAGTAGAGAGTTTGTGATGTATATGCAAGGTCCTGGTGCAGACTCAGCACCACACATAAAAATAATTGGGGTGGGGGACTGGAGAGGTGGTTCAGTGGTTAAGAGCACACACTGCTCTTATAGAGGACCTGAGTTTGATTCCTAGCATCTGTGTTGGGCAGCCCACAACCACCTGGAACTCTGCTCCAAGGGATCTGATGCTTTCCTCTTGTTTCTTCAGGCACCTGGCACACATATGATCCACATACATACATGCAGGCAAACACTCATACACATAAAAAATAAATTTTTACTTTTCTTTATTGTATGTATATGCCTGTATTGCCTGCATGTAGGTAAGTGCACCCATGTCATGCAGTGCCTGTGGAGGTCAGAAGAGGCTGCTGGATCCCCTGGGACTGGAGTTACAGTTTTTTAGCTGCCATGTGGGTGCTGGGACTCAAACCCGGGTCTTCTGCATGAACAACCAGTGCTCTTAACTGCTGAGCCATCTCTCCAGCCCCAAAATAAATCTTTAAAAACAATAAATCTGCCAGGTGTGATGGCGCTTCCTTTAATCCCAGCACTCGAGAGGCAGAGGCAGGTGGATCTCTCTGAGATTGAGGCCAACTAAGACTAAAGGAGACCCTGTCTCAAATAATTAACAATAATAATAATAATATCTTTAAATCTTTAAATAGAGGATGGGGACATGGCTCAGTTATTAATGCACTTACCTTGCAAGCACAAGGACCTAACTTTGAGCTCCAGACCCATGTAAAAATGTATGCTTGTAATCCCAGCACTAGGAAGGTAGAGACAAAATGATCCCTAGGGCCTGCTGGCAGTCAATCTAGCCTAAACAGTGAGTTCCAGGCCAATGAGAGACCAAGAGGTAGATGGAATTCCTGAGGATGACACCCAAGGTTGTCTTCCAGTCTCTACATACATGTGCACACAGATGTATGTTCACACACAAAATAAAAACAAATATAAATACACCCATAAAGGCTGGTGAGATATCTCAGTAGATAGAAGACAGTGCTTGCTGTACAGGCCCTAACAACCTGAGTTTGATCCCTGAACCCACATAAAGGTAGAAGGAGAGAATTGACTCCACAAGTTGTCCTCTGACTTCCACATGCTATGCTGTGCTATTCACACCCCCATCATACACCCATGTATCACACATACACACACTAATACAAATAAACATATTAAAAATTAAACAATATACCTATGAACTCACAGTAGCAGTGGCTGCCTGCACAAGACTGGGCTCATGCACATTCTGTCATGGATGGGGAGGCTCATGAAACCTCACCACTCCGAGGAGTCTCTGGTTGTTGATGGTTGCTGGGGAAGAGGAGCCATGTTCCTCAGTGGTGCAGCCACTGGTCAGCTGCCCTTGCTCAAGTAAACAACCCCCACCCAAGTTCATGCAAGCAGCCCTAAGTAAATGCAGTGGGCCACAAAAACTCTTAAAACAATAATAACTAAAACAACATTGAAAGTAGGAGCCTGATTTCTTGAGAAGAAGAAAGGTTCAGTGGAGGGGAAAGGATGACAGGGATATAATCAATGTACATTTTATATATGAAATTGAGAAAGAACAAGAAAGTAAATAAAAATTATACTGCAAAGGTAGAGGAGATAACTTTTTTTTAAAGGTATCCTGTATTCAAGATGTGTAAGTATTTATTCATCTAAGCCAGCAAGCTTTTTCTAAAAGAGGCAAATATTTTAGGGTTTGAGAGTCATAGGGCCTCAGTCATTGTACAGTGAAAGCAGCCATAGACATTCATAGATGAATGAATGTGGCTGTGTTTAACAAAACTTTATTAAAAACAAAAACAAGAGGCAAGTTGGAGTTGACTCATGGGCCCAGGTCCCCTGATAGACCAACAGAGCTTTCTGTGATGAAAGAAATTTCTATCCCTGTGTGGTCACAGAAGAACACTTGTCACATGTCACTTTTTAAAAATATTTTATTTTTGGAGCCAGGCGTGGTGGTGCATGCCTTTAATCCCAGCACTCGGAAGGCAGAGGCAGGCGGATCTCTGTGAGTTCAAGAGCAGCCTGGTCTACATAGTGAGTTCCAGGACAGCTGGGGCTACAGGGAGACCCTGTCTCAAAAAAAAAGCCAAAAAAAAAAAAAGCAAAAGTATTTTATTTTGGGGGCTGGAGAGATGGCTCAGCAGTTAAAAGCGCTGACTTCTCTAGCAGAGGACCCAGGTTCAATTCCCAGCACCCACGTGGCAGCTACGAATCGTCCTTAACTCCAGTTCCAGGGGAATCCAAAGCCCTCTTCTGACCTCCGCGGCATTGCATGACACGGGTGCACTCACATACATGCAGGCAATACACTTATACACATAAAATAAAATATATATTTTTTTAAATATTTTATTTTCTGGGCCTGGAGAGATGGCTCAGCGGTTAAGAGCACTGACTGCCCTTACAGAGGACCCAGGTTCAATTCCCAGCACCTGCATATGGCTACGAACCGTCCTTAACTCCAGTTCTAGGGGAATCCAAAACCCTCTTCTGACCTCCAAGGCATTGCATGACACAGGTGCACTCACATACATGCAGGCAATACACTCATACACATAAAATAAAAATACATAAAATATTTTTTTAGATATTTTATTTTTATATTTTACATGAATGAGTGTTTTGCTTGAATGTATGTAAGTGGGCTCATGTTGTGCCTGTAGAGGTCAGAAGAAGGCATCGGATCTCTGGAACCGGAGTTACAGACAGTTGTTAGTCACCATGTGGGTGCTGAGAACTGAACCTGGGTCCTCTGCAAGAGCAGTTAATGCTCTTAACTGCTGAGCCATTTCTCCAGCCTCCACATGTTACTTTTTAAAATATGGTGTGATGGTTAATAGTGTCAACTCGATAGGATCTAGAATTATCACACATGAGGAATTATTTAATTAGGTTAGCCTCTGGGCATGTCTGTGAGGTATTATCTTGATTAGGTTAACTGAAGTGGGAAGATTCACCCTAAACAAGGGCCATTCCCTGGGCTTGGGTGTTGGACTGCACAAAAAGGAGAAAGCCAGCTGTGCACCAGCGGTCATTGCTACAGGAAAAGAGCTGTCCTCTTTTGTTGCTGTGATAAAATACCCTGAAAAAAAATTCTTAGAGGAGAAAGGTTTATTTAGGTTTAGAGTTCCGGAGGGATTACAGTCCATCATGGCAGGGAAGTCAAGGCAGCAGTTCATGTTTCACCCACAGTCAAGAAGCAACAAATACTTGTGCTCAGCTCACTTTCTCCTTTCTATACAGTCCAGGATCCAAACCCAGGGAATGGTGCCACTCACTTCAGGATGGGGCTTCCCACCTCAATTAGCCTAATCCACATATCCCCCATAGGTCACCCACAGATCCATCTCCGAGGTGACTGCAGATCTCATCAAGTTCACAATGGCTATTTGCCATTACAGTAACTAGAACATGTGGTGCTAGGGTTCAAGCCTATGGCCTTGTGCATGCTAAGCGCATGTTCTACCACTGAAACACATCCCACAGGACCACATGGAACTTGAAAAAAATTATTCTTATGTGTATGAGTGGTTTGCCTGCATTTATGTGAGTGCACCACATGCATGCAATGCCTGGGGAGGCCAGAAGAGCTGCCATGTGGGTACTGGGAACCAAACCCAGGTCCTTTGCAAGGGTAGCCAGTGCTATTAACCAGAGCTGATTTTCCAGCCCTGACATGTAACTTCTGAGCACTCAAAATGTGACCAAGGTGTCGGTTTTGAAGTTTTATGATTTAAGATCAATTTATATTATCAAATAGCCAATAGTCTGTGGACCAGCACTGCAGCATCTTTGGAGACTTGCCTCCTAAGCATCCCACAGAGGTTGAGTCAGAAGCAAGACCAGTATACAATCCATATGTCAGTGACAGCTAGAGCATCTCTAGAAGGTTGTGGAAGCAGGACTTAAAGGACTAGCCTTCTCTAGGCTCAGTTCTAAAGTCTGGTGGGTAAAATTCTCGAAGCAGCCAACTGGTTTGGAGGCCGGCTCTACAAACTTTCCATGCAGGTAGGATCTTTTTTCGTTTTCCATTTATTTATTTATAATTTAAAGTTATTTATTTTTGCTTGGCACTGGAGATGGAACTATGGGCCTTGTGCATGCTAAGCAAGCATAGACTACAACTGCCCTGAACCCCAGCCCTAGGGAGAGTTTTTTAAGGTCAGTTTGGAACAGGGTTGGTTTTAAAGGTGTGATCTGGCCACAGGTTATGCCACATTTTCCAGTGTGGCTCTACATAGTAGTGTGACTGCATGTGTCTACTCTCAGGGGCCCAGAGCCTGGGGTGATGGTGCCCCAGGGTCAGCTGAGAAGCTCGTACTTACTGCCTTCAGAGTCATGATGAACTCTTCCCTGGAGATTCGCTGGTTCTCACCCCGCTCCACCTTGTTAAATACCTCCAGGATCTTGATCTTGTGACTGCGCAGGTAGGAGTACATGTCTGACAGGGCAGAGGGCTTGGGCAGCCGGAGCTGTGGCACAGACTGGTGTAAGGGTCGGGATGCTTTGCACTGGAAGAGATCAGAGTGGGACAGACTTGGAGAGGTCAAGGGAGACAGGCCAATGGGATGGTGATACAATGCCCAGAGTCAGAACTAAGGAGAAAAGTCAAGCTCCTCTAAGCAGCAAGGAGAATGTAAAGTCCACTGGGCGGAGGGTAGTTGGGTGTGCTGCAGAACATCAGGTAGACAGCTTCTGTCTGTATCTGAACTGTCAGTATCTGGAGTGTACCCTTGGTCCCTCAGCACACCCAGATGCACACCCCTTCTCAGAACCAGTCAAGCTCCCACCTCCTAGCCTTTACCGATGCTGAACCTCCTCTTCATACTTTTCTCTACCCAGTCCTCCTCAGCCCTCATTTCCAGGTCAAAGGCACTCCCATGAAGATGACCCTTCCTGACCTTGTTGTAGGGCTTGACAGTTAGCAAACAGCCTTCCTGCTGGACATCAGAGTATAAGTAATGTTTAGTCCCAGTACTCTGGAGACAGAGGCAGGAAATTGAGAGTTTGAGGTCAGCTTGGGCTACAGAGAGGACCCTGTCTACAAAAAGGTAAGGGAGGAAGACTTTCATCCTCTAGCTATTATTCTGTGCTCCTGGCATGTTTGGGACCCATCTCTTTTTTGGGGGAGGGTCTTTTTGAGACAGGGTCTTCTTGTACCCTCAGCTGGCTTGGAACTCACTATGCAGACCAGGCTGGCCTTGAACTCACAGAGATCCACCTACCTCTGCTTCCCTACTTCTGGGATTAAAGGCATGCACCATCATGCCCAGCTGGGGCCCATCTTTCAAAAAATGTTTTAAAAATTTTAGTTCCTATTTTTATTTCCTTGTTTAGTTTGATAAAATTGGCTTAGTAAATTACTTGAAGAATTTGCCTGCTTTAAAGTTAGCACTTTAAGGTTTCTTTAGAGATGAGAAAAGACATTTAAATTGAAGAAAAATTCTCCCAACAATGGACATTGTGTCAGTCCAGATATTTGCTTCTTGGCTTATGATCAATTTTTTCATGTCATAAAAAGTGATTTTGGTGTTTTTATTTTAAATTTTGGTACTTCTCTGTCTTAAGATGTTGCATATGGTTCTTATTTAATTTTTTAACCTATGCAGTTAATTTTTTTCTAGAAATAGCATTGTGTTGAATAGTAACAGGATGCTTTTAAGCTTGTTTGAAAAAAAGCAGTTTTCTTTTTTCTTTGCTGCAGTTGTCTTTTTTTCAGAACAAATAGTGTGTGCAAGATGGTGAGCAAATGGAATAAGCAGATTCAATCCATTTGAAATAATTTTTCAGCTCATATCTATGCCAGAATCTGATTCATATATTATTTTGAATGGATAGCATAATTCTACACACTCCAGTTTGATTCTGCAGTAAGTAAGCCACTAGGTGCCATGTTAAACAATTTTTATCTCAAATATCAGCCATCAGATGTTTTATTTTGCTGTTTGGTATATAGAATGTTAAGTCATCCTTTGAAGAAAACTTTTTCTTATAGATGGTTGGTGACCATATGGCTACTCAGCTGAACAAAGGACTACAAGTGATATTTGGAAAGATCACCTGGAATTAGGAGACCTAATTATTATTCAAGTTGTAGAATATCACTTTATGAGAGTCCAAGCTGTCACATGGCAGATGTAGAGTGAAGAATGGTATTGTGGCAAACAGCTATACCTTCCAGTGAGTACCTGAAAAAGGCTGTGGTAATTTAGTCCAGATTTTAAGAATCATACTTTCTCAGGGATTTCCACAAACTAGTGGGTGTCCTGGCTGTCCCTGTAGACATCCTCTTTCTATAGGTAAGGCTTCAAGTAAACTGCAGCTATCCTGGTGTTCCTATGGGGCACTTGGTATGAAAAATGGCAGGCACTCCAAAACCTTTGTGGGTGGTCTGGCTGGTTGCCAGCCCCTTAATCTAGTTTTTAAGACTAGAAACCAAAAACCAAAATACAAAGGAAATAAAAGTTGATCTTTAAAATCATCCTTACCTGAAATTGAATGGGAGTTGAGGCCTTTCTTCCAGAAAACAAGGACTTGGTTGTCAGGCCTATATTAGGCCCTGAATCTTAATGTCATGTACTTGTACTTAATAAAAATTGTTTCAGGGCTGGAGAGATGGCTCAGCAGTTAAGAACACTGGTTGTTCTTGCAGAAGACCCAGGTTCAAATCCCAGCACCCACATGGCAGCTAACAACTGTCCGTAACTCCAGTTCCAGGGGATCCAACAGCCTCTTCTGTCCCCTGCAGGCATTTATTGCACGACATGGGTGCACTTACCTACATGCAGGCAATACACACATACACATAAATTAAAAAAAAATTGTTTCAATGAAAAGCATATTAGTATAGTAATTGGAACTTCTTCTAGTCCAGTTTGGAGTTCTTTCATTTGAAAAATGTGATATTTGCATAGAATTGTCTTAAGTCTTGTTTTCTAGTCACCCCCCTCCATAGCCACCCCATACACTGAAGCTAGAATTTTTCTCTTTAGATAAAGGAACAGAAAATGAACATGTTATTTATAAATTGATACTTAGTGACTAGTGATAAACTTGAACTGGTAGAATATGTCATAAACCTAATCCTAGGTAGTGTTATGAAAATGTATCTCTTAATTTTTTTTTGAACTGTATTCACATTTTTTTTCAAGATATCTTGTTATATTTTTCCTTTTTTAAGAGCTGCTTCTTGTTTGGGGGCTACTTTTTTTGTTTTTTTAAATTGAGGCGTAATTCATAGGAGGCTGTATTGTTTTGGTACGATTTCTTACGACTATGGCTGGATGTTTTGCATTAGTCTTCCAAGAAGGGCCATTTTACTTTTTTTAGAGTTACTCTAAAGTCGCATGGTCATCAACTTTGGGAACTACTTTGCATATGAGTGCTAATACAAATTAAAACCCAGGTTGATCTCATTGCATGTCATTCTGAATGTTGACAGTGGAAGGAATACCTTGCCTGTAGTGTACTGTTATTTGTGGACTGAAAAGCTGAGGAAGAAATTCATTTTCTTCTTTGCATACATCAAGATATTGGCTAGGGGCACTGGAGAGATGGCTCAGCAGTTAAGAGCACTGACTGCTTTTGCAGAGGACCCGGGTTCAATTCCCAGCACCCACATGGCGGCTACAAACCATCCTTAATTCCAGTTCCAGGGGAATCTGAAGCCCTCTTCTGACCTCCGTGGCACTGCACAACATGGGTGCACTCACTACATGCAGGCAATACACTCATACACACAAAATAAAAATAATAAATTTTTTTTTCTGGAGCTGAGGACCGAATCCAGAGCCTTGCACTTGCTAGGCAAGTGCTCTACCACTGAACTAAATCCCCAACCCCTATAAATAAAAAAAATTTTTTTTGTCTTTTTGAAGCAGGGTCTGCCTGTAGCCCCAGCTGTCCTGGAACTCACTATGTAGACCAAACTGGCCTTGAACTCACAGAGATCAGAGATCCGCCTGCCTCTGCCTCCCAAGTGCTGGGACTATAGGCGTACGCCACCTCGCCTGGCTTATAAATAAAATATTTTTTAAAAAAGATACTGTCTATGGTTTCCTGGTTGACCTCAGTAGCTGAAGTGAACCAACAGTTCAAATTTAGAAATTACCTGAATCTTGGTTTGTGTAGATTTATCATCTACATTAGCAACATTAGCAACATCAGATAGCTTTTACAGTTCTATGTGTATACACATAGGCCTCCCCTTTATTAGTTACTGAACTTTTTAAACTGGTATTGTAACATTCCAACAATGTTTTGTGCCAACTTTATAAACTTACAGTGCAATGTGTGTTACTTTTCTGAGGCAAACCAAAGGTGTATTTCTCAGGGTTCTTGCTGCCTTCTTCAGCAGCGTTTGATGGAGGATCTTTTATACATTTGTAATAGATAAAAGTAAACCAGATTGCAGTTTTTTTGTTTTGTTTTGTTTTGTTTATAAATCGTAAACGATGTACCATGTTTCTGGTCAAGATTGTGGAGGATAAGTTAAACTTAGCTGCATTCAATTAACCAATATGAGTGTATTTCTTATGCATAGTTATGTTAAAATAAAGCTCTAAAAAGCAAAAAAAATATTTTTATTTGTTATTTTTACTTATGTATATGAGTGTATTACCTGCAAGTATGTAAGTGCACCCATGTCCTGCAATGCCTACGGAGGTCAGAAGAGGGCATTGGTTCCTCCTAGAACTGGAGTTCCAGATGGTTGTTAGTTGCCATGTGGGTGCTGGGAATTGGACCTGGGTCTTCTGCAAGAGCAGCCAGTGCTCTTAACTGCTGAGCCATCTCTCCAGCCCCCATCTTTATTTTTAATTAATTAATTAGTTCATTAATTTTTATGTATATGAGTGTTTTGCCTGCATGTATGTAAATGTACCTAGTGCATGCAGTGCCCTCAGAGGCTAAAAGAGGGTGTCAGATCCCCTGGAACTGGAGCTATGGAAGGTTGTTAGTTGCCATGTGGGTGCTGGGAACTGAACTCAGGAACTCTGCAGCCGGTGCTCTTAACCACTGAGCCATCTCTCCAGCCCCAGGCCCATCTCTATTTATGGTCTGTAGTAAACTAGTATCATTAACATGATGAATCTATGTCTCCCACTAACACATGAAACAATTTGAGGGTCAGCCACATCTTATTTAACTGCATCCTCCATCTCCTTTTTCTTTTGCAAAGTTCAGGGCCCAAGATTAGGAGGCAGTAACCATTTGCTGAAGCAATAAAGGATCCTGTGATTTAGGTAGCTTTCCACTTTAAATGAGGATTATGGGTCAGAGAGGTGGAGTAAGTTGTCCAAGGCCACACAGGGGTTTCTAACCCAAGTCCAGTGCTTAATCATAGATACTGTGCCCCTGGCAGAAAAGGGTATGTCAGACTATGAAATATAGCATTGGATATGACTACAGCAAGGACTGATTATGATGTTTCTGGGTCAACCAACCCCAATGACACTAATGAGATGAGGTGTGTTCACTGTGTGCCTGGCACCATCGAAGGCCCCTTTGTATCGTTCACCTATTTCAACATCACAGTAACAGTAGGAGGGAGGCTCAATGGTTATCCATTGCAGAGACAAGGGCATGGAAGCCAAGCTGTGCGCATACCTGTTCTCTGACCTCTCAGCCCAACTTTACCTAAACAGGAGAATTTTCAAGTATTCAGCAAAGAAATATCACAGAAGGATAAAGAGTTGGTCTCACTGTCATTCACCATCTCTGTGGGGCTGGACAAATGGCTTGCCTCTCTGACATCTATTTCTACCTCCTCTGTAACTGGCCTGGCAAAAATGAAAATATTCTAGAGACACTTGTGTCCTGCTCAGTCTGACTACCAGGCTATTGAAACAATGGCCCCCCAAATGGCAATTTCCCCAGGAATCTCATGCAGGGAGAAGGCAAAGGGACTAGCTAGATGGAGAGCTTGTCTTCTGGAAAAGAGATTTCACATAGCCCTAACAACTTGTCAGACCACTTTCCTGGATGAGACTGAAGCCTGGGGAATGATGGGTCAATGGAGGATGGGACCACACCTTGACCTAGACTGCTTAGATGTGCATATCCCTGAATATTTAAACTTTGATCTCATTTCAAGACCCCAAAGATGGACTTGAGAGGGTCAGTGGATCTCTTTGTCCTTTTCCTCAATGTAGCAACATTGAATAAATCTCCTTTTTCTGTTATTTACTATTAAATTGTCTGTTTTAACTGACTTCTGGAGAGTGAGTGGCTGAACTTGGCTCCTTGTGGGTCCAAGTTGTGTAACAAGGTGGCCTTCCTTCTCATTGTAACCTCTCGGTCATGATCCTCACACTAACTGTGAGCACTGCTTAGCACCTGTCCCCTTCAGCACAGGTATCCATAATCAAGGCAGACTGCCAGTGTGACCCCACTGGGATGCTTTTAAAGTATATTCACAAGTTCTCTGACTTTCCCCTGCCAGGATGGAATCATCTTCCCATTCTCATGGTATGGACAGTACTCAATGGCTCATTCTGACAAACAGAACATTGTGCAATATCAAGACAGCATGAAACATCTGAAAATAAGACCTTTGGGGACTGGAGAGATAGCTCAGCCCTTAAGAGCAGAGGACCCTGCTTCAGTTCCCAGCACCCACATGGCAGATCACAACCATCTATAACTTGGATGCCAGTTTCAAGGGATCCAGGGGACCCAACACCCTCTTCTGGCATCCGTGGGCACTGTACACATGTGCTACACATGCATGCATGCAGATGAATTACCCATACATATATAAAATAAAAATAAATCTTTTTTAAAAAAGAAAATGAGATTTTCAGAGCCTACTGCATAAAGTCACTGTGGCTCACTCTGTCCTGGATGGCTCACTCTGGGGGCAGCTAGCCTCCTTGTTTTGAGGACTCTCATACAGCTTCCAGGAAGGTCCACGTGGGAGGCACGGAGGCCTCTGGCCAACAGCCATTTAAGCCAGCTTGGAAGTCAGTCCTCCTGCCCTGGTCAAACCCTAGGCCAACCTCTGGACTGCAGTCTGAAATGGGTAAACCATCCTGTCCTGCACAATCCAAGGGAACAAAATGACATCTGGAAGCCTCCAGCCTCTTCTGGCCATCGAGGTCACTCACCTTGTAGGCCACTGTCATAGTCAAACTGTCTTTGGGGATTTTATGCTCCTGCTGAATCATGTATAGAACCTTGGCCTCTGATGGTGTAATGCTGGGCTTGTTCTCTAGCCACCTCCTGATGTCACCAAAGGACTCCAGCTCTCTCCGGAGCTTTGCCCTCTGGCTCAGCCAGGCTTTCCTGTCCACTGGAGGCTGTTGGATGTCTTCAATCTGCAGGGTTTTGAAGGTAGGGATGGGTAGCGGGGGAGCTTGGGGCAGGAACATGGGGTTGACTGGCGCCTGGTCCTTTGTGCCAGGAACAATGATGATCCTCCGGCGGCTCTGTGGCAGATGGAAGTCTTTCTGCTTCAACCTCCTGAAGCAGTGGGCAGTGACCAGCTCAGGATTGAAGACAACAGGGACCTTCCTGGAGGGTTCATCAATTTCATTGTCTGTGGAAGTACTAGACTGGAAGTCCCCTTGGGAAAAGATGGTTACGAGGTAAGTTCCTTTCTGGAAGAGGACTGTTCTAGTTTGTTTCTCAATTGCTGTGACAAAACACTCTGACCACTACCAACTTGGGGAGTAAAGGGTTTATTCAGCTTGCATCTCCTGGGTCACAGTTCATCAGGGAGCCCAAGGTAGGAATTCAGGGCAGGAACCTGAAGGCAGGAGCTGGCAAACAGGCCATGGAGGAACGCTGCTTACTAGCTTGCTCCCTGGCCCCTGCTCAGCCTGCTTTCTTATGCAACACAGGCCCACCTGCCCAGGGGTGGCACCACCCACAGTGGGATGGGCCCTCCCACATCACTCAGCCATCAAGAAGATGCCCCACACACATGGCCACAGGCTAGTCCTATGGAGGAAATTTCCCAGTTGAGGCTCCCTCAACCCAGGTGTGTCAGGTTGACACTAAAGCTATCCAGCACAAGGACTAAAAAGAGCCAGGAAGAAAATGTTTTTGCAGCGGGCTATGCATCAGGGCACCTGGTCCTTAGCCTAGCTTTGTTGTTGCCTCACAACAATGACTATAATATTAGCTAATGAGATCTGCAGAGCTGACAGGAGGCACTAAGCTAAGGCTTCCCACACTCTCTGATTCCTATTACACTCCTCCTGGGCTCCAAAGATTCTACCTGACCCTGTCTGACCATCCCAGGTAGGTAGCACAGTACCCTCTTATGAGAGTCAAAGCTTTGATGCTGACAGCTTGGGTCAGAGTCCTGGCCTGCTACTGCACAATCTTGGGCAAGTCACTCAGCCTGTGTGTCTCAGTTTCTTCCTTTGTAAGATGGGGTGGATGAATACTTGTTTATCAGGTGATAGAAGTGTTAGAGTCAGTTCATTAGAATTGCCTTGTACATAAGTGTGCTGTTTATATATATATATATATGTTATATGTATCTGCACATACTATATATATATATATATAAAACATATAAGTTCTCTTCTTTTTGAGGTGCTAAAACTTGAACCCACTGAGTGATGTACCAGCCCCTAACTTATATAGACATAGCAGATGGGCAGATGAGATCGTGCTTCCTGTCAAATCTGATGACCTGAGTTCAATCCCTAGAACTCGAATGGTAGGAGGAGAGAGCAGACTCCCACAAGTTGTCCTCTGACCTCTACACCCATGCCATGGTATGTTCTCGCTCCCCCATAAATAAATGTAAAAAAAAGATCTCCCATATTGAGAATGGAGACAGTGAGGCAACCTGGGGCCAAGCTGTCCTTTCCTCTAATGGACTGAGTAAACTGTCTCATGGTTAACCTATATTTTGGCTTTTGTCACATGTTTTCCTAAAATGTATAAGGCTGCTACATACACAATAGAAAAAAATCAGATTCTTTCTCTCCCATTTGGCCAAATCATAAATAAACCTATTTTTTCTTATCAGTTTCTTTTTTTTTTCTTTTTGGCTTTTTGAGACAGGGTCTCCCTGTAGCCCCAGCTATCCTGTAACTCACTATGTAGACCAGGCTGGCCTTGAACTCACAGAGATCTGCCTGCCTCTGCCTCCCAAGTGCTGGGATTAAAAGCGTGCACCACCACGCACGGCCAGTTTCTTTTTTTAAAGATTTTCTTGGTGTGCAGTGCCTGGGGAGGCCTCATCTGTATTTTGTTTTTGGTCTTTTTTTTTTTTTTTGAGACAGGGTCTCCCTGTAACCCCAGCTGGTCTGAGTCTTAAACTCTCTACGTAGACCAGGCTGGCCTCGAATTCAGAGATCCATCTGCCTCTGCCTCCTGAGTGCTGGGATTAAAGGCATATGCCACCATACCCAGCTTGTTTTGTTTTTGAGACAAGGTCTAACTATGTAGCCCTAGTTGGCCTGGAACTGGCCTTGAGCACACAAAGATCTGCCTGCCTCCTGAGTGTTGGGATTAAAGGCATGTGTTATCACTCTTGGCCTCTGTATTTTTTTAACATTTATTTATTTATTTATTTATTTATTTAATTTATTGTGTGTAGGTGAATGTATGCAATGGGGTGTATGTAGAGGTCAGAGAAAAACTTGCAGGAATTAGTTCTCTGCTTTTGCCAAGTTGACCCTGGAATCAAACTCAGGTCTTCAGGCTGGGTGGCAAGTGCTCTTACACACTGAGCCATCTTACTGGCCCTGCACCTGTGTTTCTACCAACAGATCTGAGTGACTCTCTGAACACATAGTCTAGCTCACACACAGTTCCTCTGAAACGTCTTTCCCTGACTCATCTGACATCTTCCAACTTATTCTTTGAGGCTCAGCTTCGGCATCACCATTCTTTGAAGCTTTTTCATTCCTTCTCTCCTGTCTCTCTGGGTCCCATCATAGCACTCTCCCTCCTGCACTAAATAGGGAGGGAGATGGTTTAAGACAGGGTCTCAGTTGGTAAGACAAATTGGTCTCACAGTCACCATCCTCCTGCTTCAGCCTCCCAGATGTGGAGATGACTACAGTACAGGCTTTCATCACCATTCCCAGCTTTTTTAACTTTTTATTTTTTTTATCTTATGTGTATGTGTGTATTGTGTGCATGTAGGTAAGTGCACCCGTGTTGTGCAATGCCTGTGGAGGTCAGAAGAGGCTGTTGGATCCTCTGGGACTGGAGTTACAGATAGTTGTTAGCTGCCACGTGGGTTCTGGGATTCGAACCCGGGTCTTCTGCAAGAATAACCAGTGTTCTTAACTGCTGTGCCATCTCTCCAGCCCTGCCAGCTTTTTTATTTTTAAAATCCCATTTATTTTTATTTTATGTGTATGAGTGCTATGCCAACATGTATGTAAATGCAACTGTCTCATGCAATGCCCTCAGAGGCCAGAAGAGAGTGTTGGATTCCCTGAACTGGAGTTACAGATGGTTGTTAGCTGCCATGTGGGTGCTGGGAACTGAACCCAGATCTTCTTGCAAGAGAAGCCAGTGCTCTTAACCACTGAGCCATCTCTCTACCCCCATACCCAGCTTCCTAGCACTCGTGAACATCCCTTCTGCCATGGCCTGAGGCCCCTTGCCCCTCTCCTCAATGACTCATGTCCTCCCCTCCCCTTAACCACTTGGCTGGGACTCCACTGCTTGTTTCTACTCAGCCATGTCTTCTTGCTCCTGCTTGGCCCTTGGGGTTCAGTTTTCCCACTTAATGTGTGTGCCAAAGGGCATAGTGTTCCTTAGGATGTCTCCTGTTCCAGCCCTTCCTATCCCGTGGTTCACAGTATGTCACCCAAGCTACCCTGTTGCAGGTGGCCTGCCACCACCCATTCTTTGTAGAACTTTGTTCTAGTGCTTTTCAGGGCTGTGACCATCGGCAGGAGGTGGTCTCCTGAAGTGACAGGCTCAGGATGCCATCCTGTCAGTAGAGGCCATGAGACTGGAGAGGAAAGCTCTGAATCCCAGCTCCAGTTCAGACCAGAGGCACTCTCTGATGTCATCGGCAGACCTTGCTTCTGTTTGTACATCCCTGGGGACATTCACTGTGGACACATGATTGCTGGAAAATACTCCATACATTGACCCACATGTTTCCCAGGAACACCTGTCATTGGTCTTCCTCCTTTCAGAAAACACACGTTTGAACTTTCCTGATTCTCATCTCTTAGCCTCATCCTCCCTCTTTGTTCACCGTCCTGGGCTCCTGTTGAAGGCTCACTCCTAAGTGGCAGCACCTACCAGAATTCAGGGATGCCCTTCTTTATCCAGTCATTTTTGCTGAGAACCCCCACTCCAGCACTCTTAAGCCTCCAGTTGTTCTGAAAACATCTCATTTGCATAGCTCACTGGAGTTAGGTGTCTGCGAAGACTAAATCTGCCCCCTGCTCTATCTCATCTAACCAGGTACTCCAAGGACTTTCCATCTCCCTGAAAAACACCCTTACTTACCAAGGTGTGTGCCTGACAAGTTGAATGTCACCTGACTGCTCCTGTGCTCCTCAGCTCTCTGGGGCTCTCGTAACCTGGCTCCTCTCCTTAGCTTGTGTTTGTATTTGGCCTGGGTTTCTGACGGACTCTGAGCATGTGCCTGGGAATGGTGGTCAGGGACACTGGCCGGCGGCTTCTGCCATACCACATCAGTTGGGAGGAGAGAAGTGAGGACAGGCGTCTTCAAGCCCGTCGGTCCCACATCTCTTGTCTGTCTCTGTCTACCTCTTAAGCGGCAGTGCTTTGTCCCGCCCTTGACTGTAGTCGGACAGCAGTCAGGAGCTCGAGAACTGACGCTTTCACGGCCTCTCTTCTTCAGTGTGGGCCGCATGGATGCCCAACTAGGAAGTACGCTGGCTTGGAGAGTGCAGGGCACAAGCGGCCGGGCTTGGCTTCCAAGCCATAAGGCTTTCACTCCTTCCGCTAGTGTGTAGCATGCGAATCCTAGAAAAGTACACGGCCTTCTGGACCTCTTGGCAGCCCCTCACCAGAGCCTAGACAGCACAATGAGGCTTCCAGCCAATCCTGGCCCTCGCCCCGTTTCCCGCTGTAGGGCGCAGGGGGCTTCCCCGGCGCTGTGGAGCACGTGCTGGATGCGGCGAACAGCGAGCACGACTCATGCACAAGTACGGCGTGCGTGGTGGATCCGTGTCTCCAGAACACGGCAGTCGAGCGCCAGAAAGTTTTGCAAGTGGCACGCAATTTGAGGAACACAGAAGCCCCTGTTGCCATGACTACGGATGCCCTGCTCCGATTGGTAGAGCGCTGCCACGTGCTGGGAGTAAGCGAGGAACAGGAGCGTCCTGCTTTCCTGCCGCCCCTGAATCTGGCGTTAAAAAGTCCGCATTTTCCTGTATACTGTAAGATCTCGGCAGATCCCCATCTTTAGGCTTCACTTGTCTCAAGGAAAAGAATGCCCCATATCGCAGGGCTGTATGAGATAGTCGAGGCCAAATAAAGGACAGGTGTTTGGTAGGCACTGCCCCTATGACAGGGTGTATGGTTTGGAGTCACAGAACCGCATCCGGCATGGTGGCGCATGCCTGTGATCCCAGCCCTGGAGAGACAAACAGGAGGGTAGCTACAAGCTGGAGGCTAGCTAGAGCTACAGCCTATCTCAGAAAATTAGAAGCAGCAGGGCGTAGGAGTGGACAGCTTTAATCCCAGCACTCAGGAGGCAGAACTCTGTGAGTTCGAGGCCAGCCTCGCCTACATTGTGATTTCCAGGACAGCCAGGGCTACGTTGTGAGCCCTTGTCTCAAGAACAACGAAAAGAAAAAAAAGCAAAACACAGAACACAAAACGAAAGCAAAGAATAACGAACCTGAAAACCAAAGTCCTAATAATAACCCCTTGAAATGTCTACCAACTATGACACATGCAAGGACACATGAAGTACTGACATGCTACATGGAGGAAACTAGAACAGTAAGTGAAAGATCAAAAGCCACATGCTGTATAATTGCATTTAAATGAAATGCCTAAAATGGGCAAATCCATAATGAAGCCAGTTGCTGGTGGCCAGGATATGCGTGGGGAAAATTAGGACTACATGCTGACAGGCATGTGGGGTTTCCTTTTGGGGTGATGGAGATGTCCTGGAATTAGACTGTGATAGTGGTTACATGGCAATGAATGTACTAAAAACCAAACTCTGTGTGTAAACATATTTTTCGTACTGCTGGGCATTGAACCCCGGGCCTTGTGTGTGCCAGGCAAGCATTCTACCATCGAGCAACATCCCCAGTTCTAGAATGGTCACATTTTAAAGTTTTATGTCACAAAATAAAGAACAACAATTGATCACATACTCTGTGCTGGGCACCACCTTTACCAAGGTATATCTCTGTCACCTTCTACAACCTGGGGCAGTCAGATCGATTCTTCTGGGCCACAATGACAGCATTCTTATAAGCAGAGTTAAACACACGTACGAACTTCCAATAACCATGGGAGTTGAGCAGCACTATTCCATGAGAGATGAAGAAACAGGCATGGAGGTCAGAAAGGAAAGAGCCAGGCCTGGAACCCCAGCTACCAGTTAGTCTGTGGCCTGAGCTCCCTTGCCACAGCACTCACCACCACAGTGAGGTGATGGAGATTGGGGAGGGATCTGCCAGTGGCCTTGCCCTGTGGCCATACCTCATGTCTGATGCTTAGGAATTTTGCTCTCCTACTCAACCCTGGCAGTGGCCCATGGCTGCAAAGGCCCCTCTGGACCCTAAAATGCCACATCCAGGTGTCCATTACTATTCCTACCACTTTTCTTCCATTACTGTGTGCACCTCTCTTCCCGAGGGTCTCTACAGAACCTTTTCATCTTTTTGCCTCTTCCCGACATAGGGCTCTGCACTTTGTGAATGCTGCCGTGATGTCTATTGAGTGAAAACGTGACAGATTATTGTGAAGTGGAAAGGGAGGTGTGGACAACTTCCTGTTCTTTGGGAAAACTCCATCCCCCTTTCAAAGCTGACATTTGCTCACTAAGGGGGGGGGGGAGGGTTCAATTAGCCTTCATTACTACAACAAAGCAACAAACCAACATTTGGTTTACTTTGCCTTCATTCAATTTAATTTTCAAATTAAGCCTTAAAATGCCAAATGGTTATTAAGACAATAATTTTGAATTTTTTTTTGGTGATTTCTTTCTAAGGCAAATTTTCAGTACCATGGTTTCAGGAACCATGATACTAAAATACATGTAATAAAAATGTTATAATACATGAAAAGGTCCCATTCTTCAACTGGGAGATGAGGTAAAAAAGGATTCAGGTAAACGACATGAGCTGCAATGGAGCCACAGGAAGATGCTCATGTCATGGGATGCTGGAGTCCGATCTACATTTCCTAAGAGTTGGTGTGAGTGATCAAGAACACTTGCCGTCAGGGCTGGAGAGGCAGTACAGCAGTTAAGAGCACTGGCTGCTCTTGCAGAGGACCTGGGTTCAATTCCCAGTACCACATGGTGGCTAATAATCATCCTAACTCCAGCTCCAGGGGATCCAACACCCTCTTCTGACCTCTTCAGGCATTGCACACCACAGGTGCATTTACACACGTGCAGACAATCCACTCATACACATAAATATTAAAAAAGAACACATGATGCTGAAGGGGCTTTTAATAAAAATATTTTTATTAATTACCTAATATACTGCTCATTACTTTCTACTTCAGGTCTTAAGAACTCCATTAAACAGCACAGCCAGCCACCTTTCCAGGCATACATAGAGATTTTATTTCATCCTACACAAAGTTTAGTCTTTATTTTTTAAGAAACATTTTACTTTTATTTTATGTGTATGCGTGTACTGCTTGCATGCATATAAGTGCACCCGTGTTGTGCAATGCCTGTGGAGATCAGAAGACTGCTGGATCCCTTGGAACTGGAGTTACAGATGGTTGTTAGTCACCATGTGGATGCTGGGAATCAAACCCAGGTACTCTGCAAGAACAGCCAGTGCTCTTAACTGCTGAGCCATCTCTCCAGCCCCTAGTATTTATTTTTTTTGATACAAGATCATGTTGTATGGCACAGGTTGCCTTGAATTCACAGAAAATCCTTCAGCCTCAGTCTCTCCCAAGTGCTGGGATTATAGATCAGTGCTTTCTCCCCCCGCCCCGTGTATGTATGTGTGTGCCACTGATGGATCTTGTTTGTTTTGTAACAGGGTTTCCCTGTAGCCCCAGCTGGCCTGGAACTTATTATGGAAACCAGGTTGGCCTTGACCTCACAGAGATCTACCTGCCTCTCCCTGCCAAGTGTTAGGATTAAAGGTGTGAGCCACCACACCTGGTTTCCCTTTTTTTTTAAGACCAAGTCTCACCATTGTAGCCTAGGTTGCCTTGGAATTTCCTATGTAGCCTAGGCTGGCCTTAAACTGGTTATCCTCTCCTCAGACTTCCAAGTGTTGGGATTATAGTCATGTACCACCATGTCAGGCACTGGTGGATCTTTATTACTGAATAGACATTATGATTGGATGTTTGCCTTGGGAAGGGAGAAGTGTAATTTAATTTCTTTGGAGCTGGCCGTGGTGGTGCATGTCTTAATCCTAGCACTCAGGAAGCAGAGGCAGGGGGGATTTCTGTGAGATCAAGGCCAGCCTGGTCTCCATAGCAAGTGCCAGGCCAGGCCAGCAGGGGTTACAGGGAGGCTCTGTCTCAAAAAACAAACAATAACAAAAAAAGAACTTAGCAATTAGCAGTTTTTCTGCTGTTCTTGTTGGTTTTGTTTTTTGTGTATCTCTGTGTGTATATGCCAGGTGTGTCGTTACCCTCAGATCCTTTGGAGCTGGAGTTACAGGCAGTTGTGAGGTGCCTAATTTGGGTGAGGGGAACTGAATTCTGGTCCTCTGGAAGAGCAGTAAGCATGCCTAACCACTGAGCCATCTCTCCAGCCTGTTTTTTTAAAAATTTTATTTGTTGGGCATGGTGATGTATGCCTTTAATCCCAGCACTTGGGAGGCACAGGCAGGCAGATCTCTGTGAGATAGAGGCCAGCCTGGTCTACACAGTGAGTTTCAGGCCAGCTGGGGTTACAGGAAGACCCTGTCTCAAAAAGACCTAAAAATAAAATAAAATTACATTTATGTATGTGTTGCTAAAATTCCTTCTGGGAGGTACCCTCCTCCCTTGGTCCCTACAACAAACTGAGGTCTAATTTTCCTAAACTGCAGTTTGGGAAACCAGAGTTTATTGTGTTTACTTAGCAGTGGGTGAGGGTTTATGTATGGGTGCTTCCCCGTCTAAGGCTGCATTGGAAAGTCTCCATTCAGGCATGGATTGTGACTTCCCAGAAGCTGTACAAAATGGCAAGAGAGATGCTGTATGACTTTCTCAGCTATTATACCCTTAGTCCCTCCCCATCATGCAACTAGGGTAACTGGCTAGTTGGGCAGCTGACTTACCCTGCCCCTCCTTTCTTGTGGAGTATCAGTGGTCAGCAGTTTGTGATGATCCTAAGCAAGCAGGTGCAACCAAGCTTGGGAAGAAGGCGTGCCTCTGCTTATAGCTTGCTGGTTGGAAGACAATCCTCTGCAACAGTATTTATGTGTGTTCATGTATGCATGTGCATGTGTGGAGGTCAGAGAACAACCTTCAGGAGTTGGTTCTCTCCTTCTACCTTGTGAGTTTTTGGGATCGAACTCAGGTTGTCAGGCTTGGCGGCAAGCACCTTTACCCACTGAGCCATCTCACTGGCCCTATTTGTTTTTTGAGACAGGGTCTCTCTATCTCTATGTAGTCTAGCTGGCCATAAACTTTAAAAAAAATTATTTGTATTTTATTTGTACAAGTGTTTTCATATATATATAATAAGTACACAACATGAATGCAGTGCCAGCAGAGGTCAGAAGAGGGCATCAGATCCACTGGAACTGGAGTTACAGAAGATTGTGCACAGTCATGTAGGTGCTGGGAACTGAACCCAGGTCCTCTGGGAGAGCAGCAAGTGCTCTTAATGGATAAGCCATCTCTCCAGTCCCTACTATTAAATTTGTAAATGGAGTTGCAATGTGATACTAAAAAGTGAGGCACAATGATACATGCCTAGGAGGCAGAAGCAGAAGAACTGGTTCAAGTTAAAAACTAACTTGATCTACACTTCAAATTTAAGACCAGCCTGGACAACACAGTGAGATCCTGCCTCAAAAAAACCCATTGAAACCAAACCACAATAAGCAAACAAAAAAATCAGTAATTCTGGTTCTTT